TTTAAAATGTAATTAAAATGAAATCCGGAAACATTCAAAAATAAACCATGGAATTTGGGGGAAAAAAATCAAAACAAATTTCCCTAAACAAATTATTTTTTTGTTCAACCTTTAATAAAAAAAAATAAAAAATTTCTCTTTTTTTTTTTAATTTTTTTTTTATAATTTATCCATTAAATCTGGAAAAAAAAAGAAAAAGGTAAACGGTAGAGTGAAAAAAGAAATCCAGAAAAAAATTTTTATGGGAAAATATAAAACTGATTTCATAGGACCCTAATAAGTAAACAGCAGTGACCTTTGACCCCTCTGACTCTCTAGGCGAGGAGGGAAATATAAAAATAAAAATGAATTCAAAATATTAAAAAAAAAAACTACAACAGTCGATCTCAATGATATAAAAATAACACTGGTTAGTATATATACACTCACATGCAACATGGTCACATGCAAACTTAGATTAAAGGTTGGTTAATAATAAAATACTATATTCCAGAATATGTATTCATACTATATTCTACTCCACCCATACCAGTCAAATAATGGATTTATTATACAAAGTGTCCATATAACGGAGGAAGGTGCTGTGTGTGCAACTACTTACAATCGTGTTGACGTAAAGACCACATGGACATGATGTAAAATGACTGCTGACTGTCAGATTATTCCTGCAGACACAGAGAAAAACATTATAGACATAATTAACAAGGATCGGTTTAGCAGGTGATGGTTTACGGCGAACACTTACGCGTGACAAACGGGGCATATGATCTGTCCAGACGCCTCCATTCCCTCCAACACGGAGTTCATATACTGCTCTTCATACCGCATGCTGCTGTTATACTCCTCCAGAATCAAGAGCTCTGAAGAAGAAACAAACAATAAATCTCAAGTGTGAAACATCAGCATTTAATACAATTCCTACACTTCTACCAGTGCATTTTCATCACAATTTGTAAAATTGCTCACATTTCCAACTTGATATAATGCGGAAAAAATTAAAATGTTCATGCTGATGTAACCTTGTGCTATGAGCTCCTGCTGAATTTCCTCAAATGCTGAAAGCTCGTCATATTCCTGCTGTGCGGTGTATACCTGAGGAGTGCAAACACACGCTTAAAGAAATAATTCATCCACAAATCACAGTCCTTCTTCATTTACTCACCATTACGTCTCAAATCTCTTTGTGCTTCCACATGCTCAAACTCAGGATTCAACAACATCAACGGTTTGAATATTCAGAAGCACAAATCAGATTTGAGAGCCGAGGAGGAAGTGAATGACTTCCATTTACAAATGGTTGATATGAACTTACATTAACTCTATATAGAATAAATATCAGGAAATGTCCCTGACACTTTCAAAATGGCCATTTCACGGTGTATGGGAGTGTGAAGAAGTTTTGAGAAGAGGTGGGGGAAACAAAAAAGACAGAAAAGATTTGATTTTAATATTCCTTTGACACCTTTACATTTTTGGTCCAATATTTATTTATTTTTTTTGCTTATGTGACACTGGATCACATATATGGGTCAAAATGATTGATTTTTCTTTTATGCCAAAAATCATTAGGATATTAAGTAAAGATCATGTTCCATGAAAATATTTTGTAAATTCCCTACTGTAAATATATTAAAACTTAATTTTTGATTAGTAATATGCATTGCTAAGAACTTCATT